CCTCCTCTCTCTCTCTCTCTCTCTCTCTCTCTCTCTCTCTCTCTCTCTCTCTATCTCTCTCTCTCTGCTACGTAACGTCACGCGGAAGTGTACGCGTTTGTGTACTATTCGGCGTCCGGATTGCGGCGTCAAAAGGCCTCTCGTGAAACGCCACACGCCGAGACGACGGCTCCGATTTCCCCTGTCGAAAGAGAATTCGTTTGAGTCGCGCGCGACACTTCCGTGACCATTCGTGTCTCGCTTCTCGCGTCTCTCGCCTCTCCCCCCCCCTCCCCCGGCTTATCAGCCTTCTACCCGTCGTGTTTCTTTCATATCCTCGCCATCCCGAAGCGCGCGCCATTCTGCCCGTCCATGCCGTCATGCGATTAGTATAATAACGTTGATGTCGGAGAAGAGGACCGCGCGGCAGCAATGAGAATCGGGGATGCCAATCGCGTTAGACTACACCCAGAACTGAAATTCAATATTTACGCCAGTGCGCGGTAACTCAATGTTAATTAGACCGCCGAGTAATTGGTAACGCTAGCTCTCTCAAAGCCTCTACGAGAGAGCGCGGTGAAATTCGGGCCGAATGCCCGTATTCCCGGCAACTTGCTCCGCGCCGCGCGTGTCTCCTTCGCCGATATTGACGTTCGATTACGTTCGACGACGCACATCGCATCGGATGCTCGACCGATCCAGGAATTTCAACATTCGCCCGAGCTGCGCGAAACGTTTAACTCGACGCCGAGCGTTTACGCGTAAATTAGGTAAGCATGCGCGAAATTAGATCATTTCGCCTGGCGCGAGCGAAGATTTAAAATCGACTTTGGAAACGTGCCTCGCCGTCATTTTATCGGAGGAAAATCGGAAGCCTCACGTGTCCGAAGTAATATTCTTCATTTCGGTTTACCATTACTTTTCCCTCAATTCAAATGTTAAATTTTTTGCGTATATACTTTCTTTTACGCATTACAAAATAAACGATACAAAAAGAGGCTGCTTAAAACGCAATTATGGATACTAAACGTTCTCTTAATTAATTAAATCCCGTAGATTTGGAGATTTTTTACCACCTCAACCGAAATATCATATTTTTAATAACACAAAGTAATTAAATAGATATGGAAAAGAGATCAAAATAACTGTGAAATTCCTCTCCGGCGAGAAGTCGCAAATAATATTCCTCGCATGATAAAATAACTATTCAGCGCGGAAATAAAATCCAAATTCATTAATGTAAAGAGTTAACAAAACGTTTATCGCGCCGGCAATCCTAAAGCATTGTGAGCAATTGGGCGTGGCTATATTACTGTGCTACGGAGTCACGCGATATCAGAGCACGCGAAAAAATATACGTAGACGTACTATATCAGTAACGCTTCATTATAGAAATGTAGAGAGTTTAAAGGGAAAGAGAAGAACATCAAGTGTTCAACACAAATACGCCATTTTGTACAAACAAATTTCCACCTTCTCCGAAAAAAAAGAAACGCCTTTTTGTTAATAAGTTGGTTGAGATATCCTACACTAAGAAAAATGTCCGATTAAATATAATCGGATAATCCAATTACATGATAGCAAACATGATATATCCGATTAAATTGTATATCCGATGAAAACTTTGATCGGTTTTTCAATCAAATTTCACCGGTAATTGCATTTCATCGGATATATCCATAATTTAATCGGAAAACGTAATCGGAAAAATTAACCATCGGACATACTATTTAATTGGTTTATCCGATGGAAATTTTTCTCAGTGTACGATTCGATCATTTTATATCGAAAATACCGATTATTGTTTCCCTCCCATGTTGCCTCTCTCCGAGAAATATTTTCGATCAATTAGCCTGTGCGAGAAAATTGGGATAAAAGTATAAAGAGAAGTTGATGTTTTTAAAAGCTAAATTTCTAGACACAGTCACTGGTCATTTCCGAATAATCTAATAACGTGCTGTTGCCTCTTTTTTCAGTTTTGGTCCGCCTACGTTCCTTGCGGTGCCGCTCAGTTAAATGCAGTTCAACTCTCACTGGAACAGATCGACGTGATTCGTCGACTCGCCGAAATGAATGCTCAACACTTAACCCTGGTTACCTCCGTCAAAGGTGAGTATTACATTAGCATTGACTTATATAATCAACAATTTTAGCATTTTTCCATCGTACTGGTGATGTAACAACAATCACTATAAGTTTTCTTCATACAAGATATCAATTTTTTAATTTTTGTATAAAAAATTGCATTTCTATTTTTCATCGACCCGTGCACTAATTTTTACCAATTTAAAAAACGTCAATTTACAAGACGTAAAATTATCTGCTTTTACGCCTTTGTAAAGTATTTTATAACTACGATTATATATAATTAACCAATTAGTAATTAATAAAATTATAAGACAGAAATAAACAAAGGCTCTCGACATTGACATAATATAATTAAAAATGGAAATTGAGAGTACGACGCGGTTGTAAATGCGTAAATATTTCACAATATTATTTGATTAGAATTTAATAAATAATAATCCGCGCGTCATAAACGTCAGTAATATTACACGAACAATGCGATGTGTGTCAAGCAAACACGAGTGAAAAACTCGTTGAATTGAGCAGAAACGTCAACAATACCAAAGCGCGTACAATGAATGTGGGTCTCGAAAGTATTATCAAAAGAATCCCCGGTTGTGTCTTCGGGGGCAATTCAGTTTATTTCAAGTGGACCTTTTGTAAGTGAAAGAATTCCTAGTGACTGCCGTATTATGTTATTAAATGTAACACGCTAACCGGTAGTACCGATAGATATGAAAGCGACGGTCTTGGAGAAAGTTTCTCATCGGGACGACTCGAGAGGATAAAGGACCGCTATTAATTGCTCGACTTCTCTCCGAAGTTGAAGAGGAAAGTCGTTATTGGATTCGATTCGATGGCGTAACTTGGTATTACGGAAGATTTATCAGCCGTGGACAAAAGTATTAGGCCCGCGCCATAATCGGCGACGGTCCCCTCTGATTCACGAGAGCCAGAGACACAACGGTACTCGTAATAATAATATTAAGATTGAGACAAACAATGCCTGTCGGATCATCGACGGACCTTTATCACTTCGCGATTTCATTTAATCTTGGACGGTTTAACGCCACCTAACTTGTTATCATTTTAACGTTATGGGCGTCGCTTGATGTAACAATTAATTAGCGCACTTTCGCTCTGCACATACATTTGAAATAGTTTACACAAAATTAATAATAATATAATTTAAAGCTGTAACGCCGCGCAGCATTTTTACAAATGTTGTTATAAACCATTAGGTACGTCAAAGTTTATCTCAATACAGTAAGACGTAAAAAGATTACGAAATGTTGAATGCATTTTTTTTTCGCGAACGTCCATTATCGCTGATGACTGGTTAAACCACGTCTATTTTTAGCGAAAACTCATTTGCCGTTAAAAATTGATGGGTCAATTTATCGTCTGTTAACGAGAATTTGCGGAATGCTGGTGAAATCGACTAATGGAGAATAAATTTTATCGATATGCAATAGCTACTTTTACGATATATCCACGGGGGGGAAAGGGGGGGGGAGATATGCCGAGGCAACGGCGGCGCTAAAATAAAGAACAAACTGGCGCGCGCAGCCTGAAAGAAAAGAAAATGCCAAGCAGGAGAGGATAGCGGGAAGGATATACGCGAAAGCTTGTGAAAGTTTTTGCGACAAGTAACTCACTTCGGAAACCCGACTGCCATTTTCATAAGCTCGTTGAAATCGAATCGAGGTCGCGCGAGAAAGAGATAAGAACGTAACGTTTTACGGGAGCTCCTGGCGAACTCTGCATAAATAATCGATAAACGATTAAAAACACAGCAAATAGTGTACACTGTATAATGACAGACGCAAAGGCAATTTACACCGGATAGATTAGTAGTTGATCTTTTAACACAACGAAATCTTAATAGAATTTCCCTTCAAGTCTTACAATTAGTCGCCGAAATATCTCACGCTGGAAATTTAACAATTTCTACGACTGACGAGCCACAGCTTATCTCCCGGTAATGAAAAATTCGAGCCTCTCGCGATGAATATGCTTATGCAAATGGACAGTTGATTGAACACGCATATGCGAAATCAAGTTACGCACACCGTCGAAATGCCGAAAAGCGGACGATGTTGGCGAGCGAGTGAAGAAATGTGTGTGGGACTGGCACGGCCTCACAACGAAAGCCTCGCAATGGGAACTTACCGCAAGTAACCCGGCCCGGAAAGCTGTCAGCCATTTTCATAAGCTCGAGAAACTTCGCCAAGTGGGAAGTGGAAACGAGGTCGCGGTATGAAGAAGGTAAAAGGTGGAAAAGCCAGCGGCTCGTGCATGCGAGCCTGACCCACAACAGCGTCCCAAACAGACGCAAAAAAAAATATCGCAATTTCGAACATTTATCGCGTGAATTTGACGAGCCAAGTGCGAGGAAACGTTATTAATAACGACAATTTTTATAGCACTCTGATATTCATTCATATAAAAAAATATAACGGCACACGTTAATACGATGACAGAATCGAAAAGTGAAATTTATCATTCGTTAAATCATATTGTAATATTGCATTTCGTGCAATGTACAATTCATGAAACATTCTTATATGTTTCCTAGATATTCTTTAGATCTTTTATATTATGCCGTGTAATAGTAAACTTACTGTAAAACATAGCAATTAATAACGCAAAAACGGGAACAGTGTTAAAGTAGGAAATATACTCATCTAGATTCGTTTTATTTTTTGGAAAAAGGCAAGCAGCTTCCAAGCGAGCTTCGTTCAAAGCAGTAAGGCAGAGAACAGTTACAAGAGAAGATTACAGCTTTTTAATTTTCGAGATCAGTGGCGCGTTACTCTAAAGAGAGAAAGAGAGTATGCGGCTTTCTTGTATCAAGATAAAAGATATTAAATCCTATTAAATGCTATATAACGCTTTAGCTTATCGTAGTATGGTAAAAGGATGAATCGAGCAAGCGCGCAAAAACTTTAGGTTAATATTAATTTATTATCGCAGTTTTTCTTTGTAATTATTCAATGTTTTTTAATTATAATCCCATATCCTCGGATTTATTCTATATAAAAATTTGCGCAACCATCCACGGTCCACAAATTCGATCGAGTTATAATTACATTAACCAGCGTCAATAATAATCTACCGATAGCCTGCGCAAAGAAATAAACAAGATATCGTAAATGGCGTGGGTATGGCAATAAAAAAGAGAGAGAGAGAGAGAGCGCGCAGTGTGAGAACTTTTATTGACGAACGAATGGAAAGCAACAGGATGATAAAAGTTTACGAGTCCGACGAATCCGTCATTAATCCCGAGATTACAGATATATATACATACACCTTTAATATCGCGGCAAAGCGGACTTTAAATCTAGGATATGCAGTTAAATAAATAACTCGCGCGAATCGACATGTACGATATAAGGTACGATAAATCAGCGGGCTTTAATATCCCACCGCCGTCTCGATGCAGTCTGAAAGTTTCAATGAGGCGATCGACAGCACTCCTGAAAGCACTTCCGAAAGCGGATCTGAAAGCCGATTTTTACCGATCTTTCCATTCATCCACGACCCGCCTAAAGCGCGACCGACTTTTCCGAGATTCCGTCCGATCTCTTCACCCGACGAAGGTCGTAAATAATCTATGAACACCATAATTCCGCGATCCGGCCGGCCCGGTTTAATCTCATAAAGTGTCACTTTAATCTCGCCCGGGGAAGGAAAAAAAAGCGGGGGCGAAAATTATAAGACTCGCGCTGGCGGTGCAGGCAGGACGAAAAAACGGACGAAACTTGGCTGATTCACGGAAGAAGCTGTAATTCGGCCGAGAGCAAAGTTCACCGAAGATGATTCGAAGTTCCGCGGGAGGATGAGCCTCGAATAACTCGTGTACTTAAGTGTTTCCCGAGGTTTAAATATTCTCCGTTCGGCAAGTTTATTCTGGATAGCACCACCGGCGGTTTTTAGTGTCACGTTCACAACGTTAAATCGCCAAAACGTGACGAAGTTTCTGTAATCGTAGCACGCAAGGTACAGAAAAATGACACCGAAAGGTTTTTTCATTAAATCATGATCACGCGAGACGTATGTGTGTGTGTGTGTGTGTGTAGGTCTCATCGAGGCGCATAGAGAAGGCAAGATCGCAAGTCTAATCGGAGTGGAAGGTGGTCATTCCCTGGGGAATTCCTTGGGTGTCCTCAGGACGTTTTACGGTCTGGGAGCGCGATATCTTACTCTGACACATGCGTGCGACACCTCCTGGTGAGTATAAATTACGAGGGAGCGTATATATACATATATAAAACCCTACCTTGGGAATAATTAATTTATCGCGATCCGAAGCTCGATGAGAGGAATAACGGACTCGTGATGAACCGATCACGCGGCAAAAAGAAAAACATTAATGAGAACATAAAGAGCGTTGCGATAGAATTTCATCACCGAGTAAAAGTGGGAATAGAAGCTGTACATTCCCGTAATTTTTCAAATTACGCGTGAATTATGCTTGATAATGGATTACGGCACTTTATACAGGAATGGCACTGCTCGATTTAAAATGAAAATAACAATCTTGCATACGTCACATTATTCTCCATTGCGATTTAATTTACAAACCAAAATAACCACTTTATATAAATTTAGCTAAAAAATGGTGTCTTGAGATCCATCATATTCGCTAAAATATTGATTTCGCCGTAAAAGTGCGCTTTAATTTCCGATGCCGTGTTCCTCGCGCCAATGCACGATTCATTAGAGGAAGATTGCACCTTCTAATTCACAAGATCGAGATCCCGCGGGGTGCTTCGTTTCCTCTGGCATCGTTCTTGTCGCGCCTCCTCTTACCTCGCGCTCGAGAAGTTTCTCTGTGTGTACATGCCGCTCGTTCATCGAACATCCGGTTTTTTTTCTTACTCGAAACTCGTTGTGCTTCGTATCACGATGCACTCTTAGAGGCAAAACCAATTCCACGGTTGATCGGCTTAACCGAGAGCCGAAATAACCTGAAATCTGGACGCCCGGAAGTTCTTTTCGGTAATTTCGAAAGCAGCCCCGAAGCCGCCGCTTATTTTCCGGCGCGTCTGAGGAAGAAACTTTACGGCAAAGGGAGAGCTCTCCATTTCGCAGAGAGAGGAGAGTAGCATCTCTTATCAGAGACCTCGGAATCCAGAAGTCAACTTTCACAATTTAGTCCCCTTGATCAGTTACTGTAAAGACATTTCTTCAAATTGTCCCGACTTCATTTTCCAATTTTGCCAGACTTTCTAACATTGTCCGTCTCGATCTACCGCATCATTTGTCCATCCTGAGAACAACATCTTTATATTATATTACTCTTTACACGCATTGCCACGAATTCGTCGCTTCTTCGTAACAATTTTGAAATCACCCAGACAGCACACATATCTAAAAGACATCATACAGACGTCTTTAAGACGTCTTTTAGACTTAAAGACGTCTTAAAGCTGTCTTTTTAGACATGGTGTGCTGTCTGGGCAACAACGTTACGTCTTTTCTCGCGATGGCATCAAAGTGAATCTTAGAAAATCGCTCGCGTCTCGCGATAAAACATGAGTTTAAAGGTCGCGGAATTTATTATTATATTTTTACTTTTATTTTTACTGCCATATATTAATTTACCCGCCCATTTTTTGCGAACAAGAATGCGAGACGAAAACAAATGGCGCAGAATAGGAACAGAAACGCTCTTCCCCCTTCACCGCGAACATTGATCTTTAACCTCGAGGTTTATGCATCCCCCGTGATGCCGCGTGCCGTGTGGAGTTGTAAATAAAGTCCCTGCTTTTATGTGCGTTCGTTCGATCCGGGTCACATGAGCCGCGACAAGTTGCGTTTTCGCGGAAAATCCAACATTGCATTATTTGCGAGCTGCAAGTTACGCGGGCCATAAAACAGAGCTACACGCGCGCGCGGAACAGCGACATTTCGACTCCCGCGCGACTCCACGGTCGTTTAATTATCACGAAGCCGCGGTCACTCGCAGATCTTCCTCGTCGAAAGGAAATTTTATTAGCGACCGACGAAAAATTTCCGCCCCGACTTTTCCATCCTCTCGAGCTTCGCCTCCCATTTTTGTTTTTCTTATCTTTTTGCCGTAATAATATTCACAATTCGGAAACTAAAGTTTGAAACATTCCAGTTGTTTTTTCTCTCCTCGCGAAGCCCGGGAACGATCGTTAAATCGCAGCGCCGAGAACGTCGAGAGATGATGCGCGCGGGAGCGCATCTCTAACAATGTTCGCGACTTTTACTTTACCGTTCGTTACATTTTTCACGTTCGCTCTATTTCTTCCGTCGACGAATTTTCGGGGGATTGTCGGCCGTGTAGCCGCATTACCCGCTGTATCTTTTATGAGCGCGAGGAATCATGCTCGAACCGTAATAATCTCACTCTGTGTTCCCCGCCACGTGAAATAGGATTTACGTCTCGAGGAGAGCGACGCTAGGCGCCTCGGTAGTTTTCGGGATGTAAATTACGACGGTGACCGCCAATGTTACTAACTCTAACGCCGCTTTAAGGTCCAAGTATTATACGACAATGGGCACCGACCTGGTTCGCCGTACTCTTTCCCGATGTTCGCCTGCTTTATGTCTCCCCCGACGCCGCTGCGCTTACTGCAGTAAATAAGAATCGGGAGTCACGTCAGACCCCTCGACGTGCAAATCTTCTTTCGGATAGTACATATTTTTCTCCACCGACCCACAAAATTCCCCTTCCCCCGAAATTACGTCGATACCGTCTCGCGATACGCTCGACATGGGAGATAATGGTGTTTTTTTTTTTTCGGCATCAAGTCGAGTTCCGTCAAAATTAGAGAAGGAGAGAGAGCGACGGATTCGTTACGAATAAATGTGTTATCGGAAATGTGTATACGTATAATAAAATTAATCGTGTGATTTCATATTAAGCAGAAATTTTCAAAATAGGACGTATTTTAAATCGATAATTTGTACTTTTTCCAATTACATCAATTTTAGATTACACTAGATTTTCTGAAAATAATACTTTCAAGAGCTATTGAAATTCAATCCAGGTAATGTTTTTAAGGACGTTTACGCGTGTCTTTGCGGTGTATGTACAACGCCACAAATATGTCGTAATAAAAAGAGAACAATGAACACCGTGCAACTTTTTGTGATAGGATATACAATAATAGCCGCGTGAGTCACAAAGCGATTTGGGACATTCAGAAACGTGCGCGTCTACGATAGAAAGCCTACCACACACAGAGAGAACATCTGAAGAAAACTCGTCGCGTAAAAATGCGGTTTCATCTCTGCGGCCTGAGATTTCCGGCATCCATGAGGAAAAGCGTGCTTTTATTGGGACAATATCCGAATTGCTTTCGGACGTGTACCCGGGGCTTAATGTCAGCCTCTAACCCTATTCCTCCTCCTCCCTCCCTCTCTCTCTCTCTCTCTCTCTCTCTCTCTCATTTCTCTTCGTCTTCTTCCGTTTTCCGTCGCGTGTCCTCCCTCTCCTCCCTGGGGATGCGAGATTGTCGACCCGATTGAATTTTCCACAGTTCTAGATGACGATGCCGAATCATCTCTGGCGTTTCCACGTCGGGAAGCGAGAATCGACCGTGAAGAATTATCGGATTCTCGATACCACTCTCGCACCTTTATGCTACTTTTTTTTTAACCTCTTCACTTTTATCACCTCGATATTTCATGCGTGAATGTTCCATTATTCCGCAAATACAAATAAACGCATAATACATTCAAAATACATTCATAATCAAAACAGATCTTAATGGTTTCTCCGGCTTTAAAAGCATTTATTTCGTAACAAAAATGAAAATTGTGCAAATGTTGAATTACGAAAGTTATTAAGCGTTAGAAGAGTAAATAGATGACGAGATAGTACAGCTTTCAATTAATTGTAAGTATTTATTTTAACAGATATTTACCGTAAAGTTGTGAGATTGCTAAAAAATATTTATCGAGAAAGATAAAAAAATTGCGGCCGATAATAGTCTCTGATAAAATTATTGAGATATCCAATTTGTTCAGGAAAGAACTGCCGTTAAAAATAACTGATACGACACATTTATATAGTTAGTCGTTACGTATTTACGATCGCAAGGTAGTTTTTACTGTATCTCGAGATATTGCGAAACTTTCCTTACCATCAATTAATTTGCCTCCGGCAGGCGGTAAGAATTAACTGTAATAAAGAGATAAATGGAAACACGCGTTACTTTCGGAAAGTTATACGAAACTCGAATGAGCTTCGGATTGCTTTAACGATTCTAAAGGCAGCGTATATGATAACGAAGTGCGCAACCCCGAAAGCGGAGTTTGTGCTTACATTTGACCTAAATCACTTGACCCAACGCTTCTCGGATATGCCTATTCGAGCACAAATAGTAAGGAGCCCGAATCTGTTTACAGTGCCCCTACCTTATAACTCGCCACTGTGGATCAGATCGAAGAATGCTTTGTTACATCAATATTACATGACCTAAACCATCCTTAGTTAATAAGAAAGTAAGTTGACGTTAAAAGATGTTGTGTGGTTATCGAGAATATCAAGAATAGCCCGAATGTGTTTACAGTGCCATACCTTATAACTTGCCACTATGGATCAGATCGAAGAATGCATTGTTGCATCAATGTTACATGACCTAAACCATCCTTAGTTAATAAGAAAGTAAATGGAAAACAGTTGACGTCAAAAGATGTTGTGGTTATCGAGAATATCGACAACAACGAATTCGCTTCGGTGAAACGCATTCTCCCTCCGTAGTGCCAGACCTTCGGTTGGCAGCAGTCGGGAGTAAAAATCGTAGATATTGAAGCTTGGGATTATCGCCCTTATTGAGTTTCGGGCAAACGCGCAGCTTAACACTTATTGTTAATTAATATTCTACATAATATCGGGCAGATAAATACGTGCTTTTCGAAATATGACAAAATAGAGCGTAAAATAATTTATTTTTTGATCGATGACGTGCACGCTTTCACGAACGACAATTTGCCGTGTCATCGGGAATTCTTTTGAATTCACGCTAAATGGATCGTGAAATACACACGCATAGTGAATATGTATGAATTTACGAGCTTTATAATCCGATACTTCAGAAAATATTACTCGCTACGAGCTCTCGTCCGAAACTCGTCCGAGGGGGAGAGAAAGAGAGAGACGGGAAAGGGTGCGACCGCTCTGGATTTTCGCGGCGAGAGATGCAAACCGACGTTCTAACAGACATTTTCTTGGCAGGGCAGTCTGTTCTGTTGGCGAGACGAACAACACTCAGGACTCCACGCCGGGCCTCAGCGAATTTGGGAAAGTGAGTCAACATTTACATTGTATGCTCCACTGCGGATTTACCTTTTTCGGCGAGCGGGAAAATATCCGCGTTCGCAAAAAAATGCCCGCGCGTACATGCACGATTCCGAAAGAGTTTTCGTTTTATGGCCGCCACGAACGGAGCCGCGCGCGCGCGCGCGACATACTGCGGGGAAATAATACTGCAGACTTCCGGCCAAGACGCGTCCCGGTATTATTCCGCGAAACGACCGCGCGACAGTTTAGATTATAATTTCGCCATGAGCTTCGTACGTCACATCGCGAATATTGCATTAAACATTTTCAGCTTTTTCTCGCGAGAATAAGATGTTCCCTAAATAAATGGCGATATCAACGCGAGACGTCTGTCCCAGACTATGAAAGCGCGACTAATATTGAAAACATTTTGAAGCTGCTTCCGCGAGGGGTTAACCGCTGAGGGCATTGTGGTGTACAGATTTGCGGCATTACTGGGCATTACTAGGCATTTTTTTACATCAGTTTGGGCATTAGGCCTTGCTGGAGCATTATAAAGATAAAGTAAAATAAAACAAGATAAATAAGATAACAAGATAAAGTAATACCCACTGGGGATTAGTGGGCATTGGTGTACAAGATTTTGGTCAGCGTTTTTCCCCTCGTGCTTCCGTTTACGATATACGTTTGCGCGCGAATTATTGCAAATAACACTGTTATACGAATCGGGAAAATTTCGCGCTTAAATTGTCTATCAGCGCGCGCATAAACAACACCGATGAGATAATATCCGCTAATTTGAACCAACACCTCGCGCCTGTACGTTTAAAATTTCCCAGCGGTTTACCCTTCCGGAATATCTAAATAAACGAGACGTCACGACGCGGCACATTACATCAGGGACGTTCCCAATTTTCGTAGCGGGATTTAGATCGCGGCTTCACGATCTCGATGGCTCGAATTATTTTTCCGCGACGTATAACCGGGGAAATGATCGTCAACGAACGCGCGACTGATCGCGCCCGACCTACATTCCGTTTATCACTCCCGTCGCTCCGCCGCGTTCATAAAATTATATCCCGACCCACTTTCGCGCGCGTAGAATTCGTCGAGGGATTTCGAGCGTTAACGCACAGGTTCGGTGATCTCGACGAGGCGAATTTCTGCCATTCTCGCGTCGCGCGAATCCCGAAATCCGTACCGGAAAAAAAAAGGAAGAAACGAATACCTCGTCAGATCGTTTCGCATCGATTGACTTTTTGTGAAAATTCATAATCCTGCGGCAACGGTGGTTTTCGATTAAAAAAGAGAGAGAGAGAGAAAGAGAGGAAATAGCGAGGGCAACGGGCGGAAGGGGAAGTAAGGAGGAGGTAAACGGAAGAAAACGCGTGAGAGCGTAAATCAAACGAATCGCCTCCGTTATCTCGCATCCCTTGCAACGGCTAAATCTCGCATTAATAAATGGCGGGTCTTCCAAAGAAAAATTCTACGCGCAACGCTAAACGCCCGGCAGTTTGTCATCGACGTTCGCCCTCGTCGAGTGAAATAGGATATTCCGAAAATTTTCGGTAATTAGAAATAATTCGCTGTCGCCGTAACGTCTTTCCGAAGAGTATCACACTCCGGAATGTGAATCATTTTTATCGGACACGATCCAGATATTTTCGCGTCCCCCTCCGTATTTCAGCGCGTTATTTACGCACGTATAATTTACTCCTTCCTGAAAATCGAAGATAGAAAGCTTAATTAATGGATATTGCCAATTCGGCTGCGTCACTTCGGCACACGTTGTAGCCGGCTATCGAAAAACGGTAAACGTGGCTGAGCCGCGGCTACAATAAATTACTCGGCAAAAAGAATTTCCTGCACGCGCGATATCAACCGCGTTCTATTTGCTACGCAAACGAAAAGTCGTGTTGCCTGGCGTGTCTCGATTGTCGCGACACACCGCCGGCTATATTGAAACACACCGGCGGTACAAAAGTGTTATTGCTGGTAGCCCGGCGTCGAGGGCGAACATTTCGCCGCGGAATTCCGATAATCTACAAGTCTCGGAAATAATATCGTCCTCTCCCTCCGTTCGCGATGCCGAAATATTTTTAATTAGGCACAATCCACTTTGTGCGCGTCGTTAGCTCGGCCTTCTCTGCTCTGAAGAAGAGAGATCTCTCTCGCGTTGCACGAGAGTCCCGGGATGCAGACGAAGGGGAGACATGAGCCCGGCAGACAACTTGAAACGTCGAATCGATCGAAACGTCGAGTCGAAAATCGATAATTGAACGGAATCGCAAACGAGAGTAGAGTTACGCTCGGGATCTAAAGCCAACGGCACACCATACTATTTTTCCTACTGGATTGCTTACGAGAACCAATAAAGATGCAGAGTTTAAGATCAGGTGACTTAAAATCCTGATTGGCTCTCGTAAGCAAACCAGTAGGTCGGAATCGGCCGCGACGAATTTCAACTGGAAACGTCGCGACGCCCACGGCTCGTTCGGGGAAGACAAACGGAATTATCTGAAAATTTCCCGCGCGCTTCCCCGTACACGTTCGGTCTTCCGTAACGTCGCGCAGCTGTACATGTTTCCGGCGACGGACGGGGCATCCCCGGCCGAGGAGAGCTCGACTGCGCACCGCGTGTGTGCGGACGAATGCGCAATTCGACCGACATTTTTACCCTTTACTCCCTTGTTCTTCTGGCCTGTTATTTCCATTGAACACGACCCACATTTTCCGGCCCCCATTCATCAGGGCGCGCGCGCGCGCACGTGCACGCATCTTGAATCGCAGTTGGCGCGACGAGGTGATATATCGTGAAATTATGGCGATAGCTCGCGGCGTTGTCACATGGATAGGCAGCACGGGCTTGATTTTATTGCGGCTTTCGGATGTGACGATTAGTTTCGCCCTAGTCCCGCTCGCGCGCCCGATACCCAGCAACAGGCATCGGATTACACCGCGAAAATTCGCCGTTTCACCCGCCGCCGGGCTACAGATGGCCGTAAAACCGGTTTCTCCCCCCATTTTAAATTTCGCGAAAGAACTGGAAATTGCGTCGAGAACGCGATGTCGAGTGCGGCGGGTCGATTGCGCGAGCCCGTTAATCCGAAAATTATCCGTCGTTAAATCCGAACGGATCGGAAAGATCCAGCGAACATTAGCGCGAGGCGGAAATTAGAATTTATACACGGCTAAGTTACAGTTACATCATAGCCTTTGAGTTTTATTAATATTACTTAATTAATATTATTCTACTCGTCCGCGTAGACTTTATTCGCGCGTTTCCGCCCTATTTTCCCATGCGAGCAGTTTTGTTTTTCGCTTTATTGTTAATACCGCTGGTAAGAAATCGTTTTCTATTCGCATAATCGCCTGTCTCGCTAAAACGTCGCGTAGAGAGATCGTCCCGCTGCAAAAACAATACGCGTCGTTTTCTACCATCGACGCACGAGACTCGCATCGTTCGCATGAAATCGTGCGCGCCGAGAAAAGCGAGCCCTCGCCCTTAATGCCGGAAAAACGAGACCATCGTGATTCGTTCTTCCGCCCACCTCCCTCCGTTTCCTTTTCCGTTTCGCGTCGGCAGGACTGTATTTATCGAAATTTGCCCGCGACGTTTGCAGAAAATACGCAGAGACATAAGAGTCGCGATCTCTCTAAAATAAACGTTTGAAAGAACGAAAATAGAAGAAGGATGGAATAACAAAGAGAAGCGGCTCTTCCAATTCTGTTTGCTAATTATTTTTAGCAATCCCGCATTTTAACGGTTAATTAAATGATCCGTTAATTAAGAAATATAGGTCAAGCCGAACCCGGGAAAATTGAGCGAAGCCGACGCGCCAATTTATGACGCCATTGGTGCTCTCGCGCAACGTTCCTCAGAATTAAAAACTCACTCCATTGCCAAGACAAGTAAAAGTGATTAACACTTACGGTAGCCGAGGGCCGCAAATGTACCAAGCTCGAGCCTGCGCCGCGATCGACCGGCCGCCGATACATCGAAGCTTTTTCCCCGCCATCGCATGATGGAATGGACGATTGCTTGCGTTCCCGGCTAATGTGCGCCAGCCGAAACGCCGGCGTTTCCTCCGTTTTCCCATGATATTTTTCCTTCCTTCTCCCCGATCGATCGATCCTCTCTCCACATGCTTTTGCGCCATAATAGACGCACCTCTCGTCCGAACCCATTTCGATCACCTCGGAGTTGACGACATTTACGAGACTTTGATTCCCCTGCCTTGCTTTCGTTACTATAATAAATATTTTCTATTCAAAGCGCATTTCTTGAATATCCGTTTAACCCTAGGAATACCGAGCGGTCATTTCTGATCATTTTTAATTTTGTATGTAAAATTGCGTCAGTCATTTGACTGAAAAGTCATCTTTCATAGAAGAAATAGGGTATTAATCTGAAAAAATAGAAACGGTTCGAAAAAACCGCTCGGTATTTTTCAAATCAATACAGAGGTGTCTGGAGAAGACAGTAACGAGTGGAAAGTATGAGTCCTGAAACGTTGCGCGGCATCCCTTCTCTACCGTTTGGTCTGTACCCGTTTTCATTATTCACCTGAATTTGCAATTTATTTCTCGTGGAGCAGTAATTTTATCACGAGTCCTCCCGCAATTCAGCTCGATTCATCCGCTCGTTTTATAAGATAGCCGCGTGACTTTACGCAGATAAATATGACTTTAACGTATTTCATTATTCCGCAGGCAGTTGTCAGGGAATTGAACAGGCTGGGCATGCTGGTCGATCTCTCGCATGTCTCGACAAGAACGATGAGGGCGGCCCTGCAGACGACGAGGGCGCCGGTGATCTTCTCGCACAGCGCTGCCCGGGCGCTGTGCAATTCTACCAGGAACGTGCCGGACGACGTGCTCAGAAATCTGGTGAGCCCCCGCGTCGCATAAACACGAATGCAATCGGATTGCCCTTAAAAAAAACGAGAGGGAAGGGAGGAAAAAGGTAAACGAATCAGCTCCGTCGACGCTGATATCCCGCGCTCCTCGCGGAAACGGGCAGCGAGGCAAACGGAATACGCTGTCGCGAGAGAGGGGGATGAAAAAAAAAGCGCGATACGTCGATTGCAATATGTACAGGCGGATTTATTTATTTATTTATTCAGGTCTCGCGGTGCCGCGCGCACGTCGGTCAGTTAGAAAACACAGCGGAGCGCGGCCGCGTACAGAAAACGAATGAGATATTTCTCCCGCTCGCGAGAGACGGATGGAGGAAAATCAAAGCCGGGCCACTCGCGAAAATGTAAACCGGCGCGCACGAAAGTTGCTCCGGCCGTGCCGCCTGGCCTTTGTTCGACCGTACCGAGATTATTTGATTTCGGGTCGGCGTACATACATACCGCCGACCAACCGGGCTCTCGCTCCCCCTCAAGCTCGGTTTTCGTGCGGTTTAGTATTGGTGAGCGACAACTACCCTGCGGAATTTGCGATACGTGTAATATTTGAGAAGCGGCGGCCAATAAAATATCCACGGCCGCGCTCTGTAGCTGCCCTCGCGAACATTATCGATTCTGCCGCGGCGGTGCAAAACAGTCTCGCGAAAAATTCATTTAAATATTCCAATTAATTACAATTTCGACGCAAATCTGTAATTAGAAGAAACGTAACGTCATCGAAACGACGTTATCGCGAAGAAGCACACGTGCGGATATAAATAAAGCGTGGTAAAAGATACGTACAATAAAACGTATGATAATAGTAAAAATAATACGATAGAATTTTCGATGACACGGGGGCGGGGGAATAAAGCGTACGTGCGAAAATAAATAGCTGCCGACAACCGCTTTTTTTATATATCGCGATCGTTCGAGTGCGCGTAAAAAGAGGAGGTAAAAACGAGACGCGAGAGCAAAACGAAGGTGTGCGCGCAGCGCCGAGTGATTAAACGCAAGTTTTATCGACAGATCTGATATCTGGAAGTGAGATGCGTAACGTCGAAATTAAATTCGCAGGCGAGGTGAGGCCAGCCGTGTGCAAATCGAACGCGCTAGGAGAGTAGTTTGCGATCCGCGAAGTTGTAAAACGCGGGGCGCGAGTCGGAGGAAGCGCGCAAGAACGTCCGGGTATTATCAAACGCAAAGTAACGTCGACCGCGCGAATTGTTCGAGTTCGCGCGTAACGAGATCACTGCAAACTATTCGCGATCGACGAAGGAGCGCAGATTCCCCCCTCTCTCTCTTTCCCCGGCGCGGAGATATGTCAAAATAGAGACCCTGTAATCAGAGACTGGCCATGAGAGTTCGTCAAATTCCTGCGAGTGAGAGAGAAACATAGGCTGTCTCACTCTTCTACGATCGCAGAATCGTGAGAATCTCTCACTCTCACAGAGAGAAACATAGGCTATCTCACTCTTCTGCGATTCTACGATCGTAAGAAGATTGATATGGCCAGTCTCTGATTACAGGGTCTCTAGTCAAAAGAATTTCGAGCGACGGAAGCAACGGGCGGTGAAATAGCGCGAGTGCAAGTTCCGCGGCTTGATCCGCGTTATTATCGATAATTCCGCTCGTACCCACCGCCGCGAATTGGCGTTAATCCAATTGGCGCTAACCCCCGTCCCCCGCGCGAACCGCGGCCACCCCGAAATTTTTCCTCGCCCATTAAACTCGCGAGTGGCATAAACGCGGCACGATAATTGACGTTTCATTAATCGCGTAACAGTTGGTCGGGTAAGGAACGCGACGCTTCATTAAAATTTCATCCCGTCTCTCACGCGCCGCGCCGCGCCGCGCGCCCGCCGATTAACGATTGTCGAACCGTACGCGATGAGCTCAAGGAGCTTCAAGTTAACGAAAGTAAATTCAACTTATTGCCAATTAACTCGGGCACTTCGGGCTTTATCGCGCGAGGGGATGTACAATGCAAATTTTACGCCCCGTTTTACACTCTGTAGTATTATTTATATGGGTCATTGAACAAGATCCCGAACCGTGGCGTACGTACCATAATTGTGAAAAGAATTGATATCTGGAAAACGGAGCTTACGTTGCAAATGATGCACAAAGTGCAAATAAAAATGATAAGTGACAAATTGTAAAATTATGAAAAAAGTATAAATATATAGCGACGATACCGGGAACGTATTAATATTTTATAACGTTACGGTCCACTTTGGAGCTCCCTCCGGGAGCTCCGAGCGAGAAACTTTTTATTTTGACTAACTTGGCGCGCGCGCTAATCTATTTTAAAACCTTAATACCACCTATAATACTTCGTATTAATACCTCAGTCTGGGAAAATCATATTGCTTCGCTCGCCAATTCTTCTGAAACGCATTTTCAACTTGTGAGATACGTAGTACGCGTGAAATATTGTTAACCACCCTCGAAAGACAAGACCTGATAAGACGGGGTCTCGCTAATTAATTAACCGACATTCTCCTCGATTTCTTGAAGTCAACTTAACATCTAATATCCACGAACTTCATTCTCTTCTCGCTCCGCGGGCGATCAATATTCCCTTAATTACACCCGCAGAACGAGAGGATGAGTAACAGCGATCTAAGCCGGATGGCTTGTCCGGTAACGTGTTATTAACCGCGTCGTCCTGCTGCCCTAATTAACATCGCCCGTGCAGTTTAAGCGAGGCTAGGTATCAAATAGACAACTGCGTGTTCCTTGAAACCGTTTCCCGCGACAGCTTTTCCCACGCTCGGTTGATTAAAAAGCAACAACTCGAGTTAATGAAGAAATTAATGTCAGTTGGATTATTTTAAATCGACACTATTATACCGATCGGTCTCTCGACTAATCCTTCATTGATATCTTACACACTTATAATCGCAATTTATTAACTACTCGTCACCTGAAACGTCGATAAATGATCTCCTTGACACAATCGCACTATCGTTAGTTTTAAGCGTATTCTCCAACTGCAACGGTCTGCACGAACGAATTAATAAATTATTCAATTCGCTTTTACAATACTCGGATTTTTTTCAGACCACGGGATATTTCTAAAAAGTGTGGTTTTTAAACGGCCATTCCTCTCGCGAGTAAATTTCAGCAGTGAGATAATGTTGGCTCCGCTGCAAATGACTGCGCGACGTATTTTCGTGCCGCGCGTTTAAAAGATCGAAAGAAATACGATCGGCGCGGCGTGTATGACATTAATGCATCTGTTCACAGGCTAAGAATGGCGGAGTGGCGATGGTCCCTTTTTATACCTACTTCATAACATGCAACAGCACCGCTACTATAAAAGACGTTATTGGTACGTGCAAACGCTATTCGCGAAACTGTGCTAAGCTTACACCCCGGTCGAGTAAATTGTACCGTATCGATATTGCATGCGAGCGGACGCGCGATACACGCGCGCATTGCATTGTGCGTCATTTTCATACTTATTGCCCGTGGCGAATTTAATTTTCGGAGTCGTGCTCTCGAGAAGGCGCAGAATTGAAACGAGCAAACGTATCCGACACCTCGCCCGAACGTGAGGAGAGCCAAACATGTGTCTCGCTTATCGCGATTCATCTTGCTCGTTCATTTAAGTGGGATATACGTTCGCCTCTACTTTAACGCATGCAAATATTTGAGCAGAGCCACGTTGTGTCCCGACAATAACAAAACATTTTATTTTACCTATGCATGCATGACGATGTCGTAAACGCGTTACCTCATAACCGCGTTATTCCCCAATCACATTTTATTCCCACAGGCAAACGCGCATGCATTTATATTAAAATATTTTATATTAAAATACCCTGCGACGCGCGCGCTGCCGCCGGAACAGAATGATTAAGGCCCCTGTATATTGTTTCAGCACACATCAATCATATTCGAAAGGTGGCGGGGATCGATCACGTTGGGATCGGAGCGGGCTTCGACGGGATAAATTTGTAATTATTCTTTCGCCATGTCCGTTTTTCGCGCGCGCGAGGCGGAGACACTCAGAGACATTGCCATAAAAGTAATTTGGTTCAATAACGTTTACGATTAATCTCGTCGGAAGGGCCGCGATAAAATCCGGAGAGCTCGGCGTAAATATGTATTTAACCTACAGAGAGAGAGAGAGAGAGAGTCCCACTTTTATAACACTCGGGGATAATTGCTTCGCTTGTTTTGAGAAGCCCGCGAGTCCCGGGAGGTTAATTTTATGGGGGAGGACGCAAGAAACAATGCCCAAGGAACTGCTTTTGTTTCGCAGCTATGAAACTTTCACAAAGTGCCTATCATGGTTCTTGTAATACATGGTAAAATATATCGTCGCTAGCGCAACTTTCCGCACTTCTTTTTTCTCCTCGCAATAATTCTTCCAAAATTTACCTCGGTTTAACACTCTAGATACGGCTGTTGTTCCTTTGTATGGGGCGCGAAAACAAAATTATAATAATTTTGCTCGCTCCTAAAATGCTCGATAAAATCATCCTAGTCGAACAGAGAACGTTTTATAATTTTAACGATTAAACTTACATCGTGTCTCGCTAATAAGCTAGCTAATTGCGCACAGTCACTCTCCATCTTCAGGTTCAACTTTTTCATAATAATAATGAGAAACTGCTCGGAACTAACGTGCCACGGAATCGCGAAAGCTCGTGCGTCCGCAATAACGCGTGGGACGCACGTCAATTGCGAGTACAAAACCGAGCGAAAGTATTGAAGACCAGTCTTACGACACTAGATACTCGGGTTAGCTAAAAATACGCGATTCATGTCGTTTTTGAAAACGCACGATTCAGCCCTTATTCAGTTTATTCCGACGACGTTCCTTCGAAAAATAAAAGTAACGCGGACGCGGCGAAACTTATCGTCGTTCTCTGAGTGTTACCTCGAGAGTCAGCCGAGTTAAGAAGATCGTTTGATCCTCACGAGATTTGTCCCCTTTGCAGCACTCCCACGGGTTTAGAGGATGTCTCGAGGTATCCGCAACTATTGGCCACCTTGCTGGAGGATCCTACGTGGACGGAGGAGGACATCAAGAAACTAGCCGGCCTCAACTTGCTGAGGGTGTTCGCGAAAGTCGAGCAGGTACGAGACGTCCGCTTTTAATCGGCTACGGAGCGCCTGCAGTTCTTTTACGATCGGTTGTAAACGAAAAGCGCTTCGGCTCGAACGAAAAACACGTAATCCTATGCAACAGCCGCGTAATTCCGGATATCTGGCCACGATTAATCGCGCGCGCTGAATTTATCAGCTGTTGGCCGGTTGTTAAAGTTTTAACACTCTTTGTTGCACACGCGCCAAGCCAATTGAACGCGTTACAACCTTGACTCCTATTTTCGCATTTTTATTTATCGGAATTATCTTCACGTTCGGAATAAAGATAATCTTACGACATCAAGAAGTAAACAGCAGACATAGACATATCGAATGGTTGAAATAAGAGGTGCAAAAAATTTATGGAAAATCTGTGTATAAAACAGTGAAATAATACGTTAATATACTCACAGAAAAATTAGCTGCGAAGACCGCGAAATTATCTTCCCGAAAAGATCGATCTCGATAATTTCTTTCCTGGAAAGAGATTCCAAAGATGACGTCGGACGCGGATCGACTTCCGTTTCTTATCTCGCTGTAGCTCATAATCGCTGTCTTTTCCGGTAATAGGTCCGCGACGAGTGGCACAGGGCGGCGGTGCTGCCCGTGGAGAAGATCAGTCCACCGGACAACTCGGCCTGCGTCTACGGCGCGTCCTGATCCTCTTTGAGGACAATCGTGCCGGGATTTCTCGACTTTGCGCGATCGCCCAAGATCCTGCGGGTGCCGCGCTATTACTGGAGCCTGTGAGGACGCGTGCCCCGAATCGCCAAAGGATCATCCGCGCCGTGGGAAGGTGCCGCGCGGATATCTCCAACGGAAAACGACCAACCAATCTACACCGAAAGAACTGCCGACTTCTACTTCAGGGACTCCGTCGCGCCTTAACGACAGAGAGAGAGAGAGAGAGAGAGAGTCCTTACAAATTAATGCCGTCGAGGATCCTTCGGAGACACCTCTGGAACGTTCGGATCACCGTTCGCCAGAAGATCTCGTATGCCGTTAGCGACGGTGAATCGCGATCGCATTGCAGAAATAATTATCCGCCTCTTATAAGCGACACTTGATTTTGTGATATTAAGCACGAATTAGTAGCCGCGTGATATCGAAGGGGGATTAATGATTGTCTTTAACTCGGCACTCTTCTACCACGCTTGCAAATTATTCGGCATAATTTCGCGATCGTTTCTTAGGCATTTCCGTCCAGACTTCGAACTTGGCTTGATAATCCGGACACTTACTCGTTATTTCGCAATTTGCATCACTAGCACTGCGTTGAACCGCATACTTTACGTACGCCGCGCTATGCATTCCATCACGAAATAAATAATGATAAAAAGGAAGAAAAGGGAGAACGTGAAAGCTTGAAAGTATAAATCGTTCCATGATTTCGCTTCGTAAGCTGCAAGTTTTATAACTCATTGCGATAAATTCGCGGAAAATATTCGTTACGCGCGCGACTTGTTTATTTTGCTAATCGCAAAGGCGATCAGAAGGATTCTCGAAAAAAAAATCTTGTCGAAGCGAGAGGTCATATTCTCAGCATATATTTAGTACCAACTATGGTCGGCTGATTCTCATATCACGCTTCTAACGCACGCAACACGATCGTCACGCACTAAACAAAGAACCATGCAGCCATATTTAGCGTTAAATGTGCACGAATATGGACAGATTGCCGCGTGACAACCGTACGCGAGTGATCCCGTAAGATTTCTTATCTTACGTTTAAAAGCCGAAATATAAATAGAATTCGAGTGGAATATCATCTCAGGCGTTACATTTATATCGTTGTTTGTATTTCGACCTGAGAACGATCGTAAGTGACATCGCTGTCGTACACCAACTGAAGAGAAATAAACCGTACTTTTATAATTTTTAGATGAATTAACGACACTAGACTATATTAAAAAATATCCTGCGCGTCCTAAGAAATATTTCAATTCAATCCCACGTTATACGAGAATCGTAAAAATTAGTATGGTATTCGTACTGCACGTACATTTTCATCCATTTATTTTCATTCAAACTCGTGCGTCTCTTTTAAAAATCGTGTCTTCAAATGTCTTCAAAAATATCTTTTCAAAACATGTTTTTTTTTCTCTTTGCACTACCGATTGAGCTTTTTCGAATTATCCAACAGATCGGAATTTATAAATTCTTTGAGCGTTTTGCACATAAATTTTTCCACGACCGAGAGAAACATAGCTGGATAAACAAATGTCCTATCCTTTAATTTGCAACGTTGAATACACAAAAGGGCGTGAGGCCAAAGCTTTTCTCAAAGTTCACTTAAGATTAAACGTAGACTAAGATTTTGTTACTTGTTTATACCTTTCAGAGATAATGTACCGAGAGATTACTCATATCCTTATAATTGAGAAATGATTGCGATAGTTTTTAAGACGGAACGACTCCAAATTCGTCAATGAATTCCACCGACGGTGTCAGTGTAATTTTGCAACCTTACGTGAATATCGAATCAGACAAGTGCACTTATGATGTGCGAATATATAACGAAATCTCCAAAGAGAGGAGGTTAAGAGTGCGAGAAAGAGAGGTGCCAAATTTCTAACGATTAATTAATTAAAGCTTCGATGGTAGCTCCCACGCGTCAATGAAATGAAGAAAAACAAACCGCTCGCTTTACGAGTTTCTTGTAATTGATAGCAACGCAACGAAATTCCCTGTTAATCGCGCACCGAGTCTATCTTAAAAAAAAATTGACTTGCTACTTTCTACGTGATACAGACTTGTCCAGATACACGCTGTCGATAATAACAACGCTTCTAATTGAGTCGCACCGCCAAAGAAAATCTGCTAGTCTCGAAATTTATCTGACACGCTGCTTTATTATGCTTACAATGTATGTCGTATGGCTCGTTGCCGATGTCAGTTCACTGCCAAAGCCACCCCGTACATTGGACTTTACGAACGCCTTGACCCGAACGTCTATGACTTTCGAAAACACAAGCGAAGATGCAGCAACGCTGACGATCCAATTGATAATTGTTGATGATGATTTGCAACGTCTCCACGTATCCGCATAGACAGGCTTCTCGAAGCGTGATAGATTGGCTGTTGACTCCACTTGGCACAGTTTCGCTCGAGTTGCCATCGCTATAGACTTGCCGCTACGATTGCACGAACCGTCGTCCTGAATCGTCCTACAGCCACAAGTGCTTTGAGAAGGAAATGTTGATTTAGCAAATCACTTGCAATGCGTAACGCGACCTATACTCTTCGGAAGCTATCGCTGATATACAAGCCGTTCGTTATGAAAATAGCGTGTAGCAGTTTTGAGAAGTAGAACCCGTAGCGGCAGAACCGCACCGAATTTGTACTCGAGAATTTTAGGGCGCGCCAAACTTGGACTTGCGCCACTTTCAAAATAACTGTACGACCAAGAAACTCCTGGATGCGTCGCGGATAGTTTCGTGACTTCTCTCAGGGCTGTGATATTTTCCGCGGGCCTCGTGAAATATTTCGTGCTTCCATCTATAAAAAAAAAATATATATCGGGGCGCGTCGCAGAAGGGAGAAAAGTGTATCGTCGACGAAAGTCGCGCGCACGATTATTGCGAGTCGAAGACGTGGGTTCGTTACGCTCAACAATTCATTAAAACGATATAATAGTCGGTTTAGCTACACGACATGGATGATCCTTGACAGAAAAGACGGATAGCTCGGTAAGAGATGTCCGGGAAACGTGCGAGCCTCGAGAAGACGTGAGGAGGCTCGCCGAGGACTTTTGGTAATATAAGTATAATTTTTAATTTTCGTACCTTGTTACAAATCACACATAGTCTTGTAAACGCTTTTATAGTTGAGAAAATTTATAGTAAGGTACAGACACACATTTATCTACAGCTCGATCGACCGTCATACCGCTTTAATCGATTACGGACCGCGAGAGAAGAGAGGCGCCGTGCGTTTCGCAAGACGCACCGGGATTTCGATCTGTTAAAGCTAGCCACACACGCGCACGTCTTTCCGCAAGACGTAAGGTGTTTCGATCAATCGCGTCCGGCTGTGCGTAACAAAATCGAGCAGCGTGATTGGTCGAATACTTACGGTTACGTTTTACGGAAAGCGTGCGCGTGTGACTAGTTCAACTATCGCGTTAAATGGCAGCAGTATCGCGGGTGGATTAGATCCGTAGAGCGCGGCGACGATGAAGAAGCGTAATGTAGTCTAGCGTGGACTGTACATCTATACGAGAAATTTTTCAATACGTACTAAACATTCCTAAACGCGCGAAAAGCACACGCGCGTACGCGCATTCGCGAAGAAACAATCGATGCCTTCGACGACTCGCGGCGCCGTTCCAGCGAGCTACGGGATTTTCGTCCGCACAAACAGTCAGAGAACTAGACTCTTGACGAGAGGAACATGCTTTTTGCAAAAAGAAAAAGAAACATGAGTTCAATGAACTTAGTCGTTAATTAAAAAAATATATCGTTGGCTGTACGCCCTCCCCCTCCGCGGTAATATTATATATTCGAATCTCGATTCAGTAAAAAGGGCGAATTCCTTTTTTCCCCTCTCGAAGCTGTCAGCATGCATTTATCCCGAGAGATCTAGCGATGAAAATTGTCAAAATACCAAAAAAAAGAGAGAGAGAGAGAGAGAGAAGTTTACGATTAATTGATAACCATATTAGAGAGTGAGACGCAACTCCCTTTTACATAAATTTTAGCAGCAATAACGCAAGTAACCGCCAGATAGTCTACTGTTAAGTAGCATAAACGACCAATAGGAGGATAATTTCTAATTCGTACCGAGTAAGTCTAACGAGTACGTAATTACGGCACTTTGCTCAATACCACCGACTAGGACGTCAGGAAGACACACCGCATACCGTTCTTTCCGTAGCGTTTCCGTGTAACGTAAACCTTCGTAAACTTAACTACGTCTAGAGATGAACAAACGCGCGGCCGTGTCACGGTTATTCTTTATAAATAATTTATGGGATTTTTCCCCCACGCGCGAGCGAACGCCGAGGCAAAGAGCCAACTCGAGAGTCGAGGGGAAATTATAGATAATTATTTTGAGTGTGCATGAGTGAGCAAGAGGCACGTCTGAGCGAGACGAGAGAGAGAGAGAGAGAGAGAGAGAGAGAGAGAGAGAGAGAGAGAGAGAGAGAGAGAGAGAGAGAAAGACAGAGAGAGAAGACGCATCGTCAAAAGTCCGGAATAATTTCGAGCGTTTCGAGAAGGTGGACGCGCAAATCGTATCCAAACAACGTCAATTATTTACGTAGACGAAATGAAATTTACCGATACGCCCGTGCCTCGTATCGTTTGGACAATCTGTAATACTTGAGTTCACCTCGTCCCTCGAGGTTTTACATCTCACAATCACGCCATTCACCTGCGACGTGAAAAGATCCAATAAAAAAGAAGAGTGCATGTAGATGAACGTTCTTTTCTCGAACAGCTCGACCATTATTCTCCCGATAGATCTCAACGTGTTCATTTTGTAATATCTAACAAGTAGAACGATCAACCACGCATGCGAAATAGAGTTCACTTTTTTTCTAAGAGCGCAATGGAAGACAGATTTTGGCGAAACGGGCAGGAGGGTGAGCGTAGAAGGGAAGGAATCTTAGTTATATGAACCTTAACGTATATACCGTAAACAACACACAACTGCCTAGAAACTCAGATTAATAATATACACTTATATATTATACTTATTACATTATATACAATTAATTTTTAAAAGTGACATGTCTAAACGCACAA